TTTGCAATAGTCAAGACACAGAGACAACCCAAGTGCCCACCAACAGACGATTGGCTTAAGGTGTGATATATATACACAGTGGGCTATTTCTCAGCCATAAAAAAGAATGAAATACTGCCATTTGCAGCAACATGGATGGACCTAGAGAATATCATATTAAGTGAAGTAATTGAGAGAAAGACAAATATTTTATGTCATCACTTATATATGGTGATGATGTCTGAAAGTAACACAAATGAATCTATATGTAAAACAGAAAGAGACTCGCAGACATAGAAAAAAAAAACTTATGGTTACCAAAGGGCAAAGGGAGAGATGGAAGGATAAATTATTACATGTAATAACCTTAATGGAAAATAATCTGAAAAAAATATGTATAAACAAATCATTTTGCTGTTCACCTGAAACTAACACAATATTGTTAATCAACTATACTTCAGTTTAAAAAAAGAATTTATAAGTTTCCCTTGGAGCATGTTTTAGCTGCACTCCACCAATTTTGACATGTTATATGTTCTTAGTTAAATGTATTTTAAATTTCTTCATTATTTTATCTTTGACTTGTGAATAATTAAGAAGTATATTATTTAATTTCCAAGATATTTGAGGTTTTTCTGGATATCTTATTGATAGATTTCTTAATTTACTTTGTTGTCAGGTCTATATGATTTCAAGCTTCTTAAATTTATTTTATTTTTACTATTTAGCATTTTTGTTGTTGAGGTAAAGTTGATGTATACATTACATTAGTTTCAGGGTTATGACATAATGATTTGATACTTGTATATTTTGGGAAATGATCACCTCAATAAATCTAGTTAACATCTGTTACCATACATAGTTAATTTTTTTCTTTTGTGATGAGGACTTTTAAGATTTACTCTCTTAGTGACTTTCAAATATGCAATACAGTACTATTAACTATAGTCACCATGATGTACATTACATCCATAGGACTTATTTTATAACTGGAAATGTGTACCTTTTTACCTCCTTCACCCACTTTACCCACTCCCTACTCCCACCTCTGGCAACCACCAATCTGTATAAGTTAATGGTTTTTTGTTTTAAGATTCTATGTATAAGTGAGGTCATACACTATTTGTCTTTCTCTGTCTGACTTAGCATAATGCCCTCAAGTTCTATCCATGTGTTGCAAATGGCAAGATTTCCCTTTTTATGGCTGAGTAATATTCCTGTGTGTGTGTGTGTGTGTGTGTGTGTACACAACATTTGCTTTATCCATTCATCCATCATTGGGTACTTAGATTGTTTCCATATCTTGGCTATTATAAATATGCTGCAATCAACATGGTGGTGCCTATATGCTTTCAAATTATGTTTTCATTTTCTTCAGAAAATGTGGTAGTTCTAATTTTAATTTTAAAGAACCTCCATACTGTTTTCCATAATTGTTGCACAAATTTACATTCCACCAATAGTGCACAAGTGTTCCCTTTATTCAACATCCTTGCCAACACTTGTTATTCTTTGTCTTTTTTGATAACACCTTTTTAACGGGTAATATCTCATTGTGATTTTGAGTTACATCACCATTAGTGATGTTGAGCATCTTGTATATGTTGTATATGTTGGCCATCTGTATGTCTTCTTTACAAAAATGTCTATGCAAATCTTCTGCCCATTTTTTTTAAACGTTTTATGTTTTGAACACTGACATTTGTTTACTTAGGTTTTTGGGGGGGTAATTAGGTTAATTGATTGATTTATTCTTAGAGAAGGTACCAGGAATTGATTCCAGGACCTCATACATGCTGGGCATGTGCTCTACCACTTGAGCTATACCCTCCCCTGTCTGCCCATTTTTGAATCAGTTTTTTTTTTATTTGCTATTGTGTGAGTTCTTTATATATTTTGGATAATAGCCCCTTATCAGATATATGATTTGCAGATATTTTCTCCTATTCAGTAAGCTGCCTTTTCATTTTGTTGATGATTTTCTTTACTGTGTAGAAGACTTTTAGTTTGATGTAGTCACACTCATTTATTTTTCCTTTTTGTTGCCTTTGCTTTTGGCATCAAACCCAAAAAATCATTGCCAACAGTGATGTCATGGAGCTTACTGCCTATGTTTTCTTCCAGGAGTTTTATGGCTTCAGGTCTTACATTCAGGTCTTTAATCCATTTTGAGTTAATTTTTGTGTATAGCGTAAAGTAGGGAATCCAGTTTCATTCTTTCGCACGTGGCTGTTCAGTTTTCCCAGTACCATTTATTGAAAAGACTGTCCGTTTCCCATTGTATAGTTTTGGCTCCTTTGTTGCATATTAATTGACTGTATATTTGTGGGTTTATTTCTGGGCTCCCTTTTCTGTTCCATTTAGTTATATGTCTGTTTTTAGGCCAAAACCATACAGTTTTGATTCCTATAGCTTTATAATATAGTTTGAAATCAGAGAATGTGTTGCTTTCAGCTATCTTGCTCTTTCTCAAGTTTGTTTTGGTTATTTGGGGTCTTTCATGATTCCATAAAAATTTTTAAATTCTTTGTTCTATTTCTGTGAAAAATGCCATTGGAATTTTGATAAGGATTGCATTGAATCTGTAGATTACTTTGGGTAGTGTGAACATTTTAACAATATTCTTCTAATCCATGAGCACAGAATATTTTTACATTTATTTTGTCTTCATTTTCTTTAATAATGTCTTAGAGCATACAGATCTTTCTCTCCTTGATTAAATTTATTCCTAGGCTTTTTTGTTCTTTGATACAACTGTAATTGGGATTGTTTCCTTATTTTATTTTTCTGATAGTCTATTAGTGTCTAAAAATACAGTAGATTTTTATATATTGACTTTGTATCCTACAACTTTACTGGATTCATTTATTAGTCTAACAGTTTTTGGTAGAATCTTTAGTGTTTTCTGTGTTGCCTACAAATAGTGACAATTTTACCTCTTCCTTTCCAATTTGGATACGTTTAGCTTTTTCTTGCCTAATTGCTCTGGCTAGGACTTCCAATACTATGTTGAATAAAAGTGGTGAGAGTGGCCATTGTTGTCTTGTTCCTCCTCTAAGAAGAAAAACTTTCAGCTTTTCACTAGTGAGTATGATATTAGCTGTGGGCTTGTCACGTATGGCCTTTATTATGTTGAAGAATATTCCTTTTATACCCATTTTTTGAGAATTTTTATCATAAATGGATACTGAATTTTGTCAAATGTTTTTTCTGTATCTATTGAGATATCATAAGATTTTTGTCCTTCATTTTGTGATGTAGTATATCACACTGATCTGTGAACATTGAATCATTCTTGTATCCCTGGATTAAATCCTATTTAATCATTCTGTATGATCCTTTTAATGTATTGTTGAACTTGGCTTGCTGTTATTTTTGTTGAGGATTTTTGCATCTATGTTCATCAAAGATACTGGCCTGTAATTTTATTTTCTTCTGGTACCTTTTCTGGTTTTGTTATCAGGGTGATGCTGGCTTCAAAAAATGAATTTGGGAGTGTTCCCTCCTCTTATATTTTTTGGAAGAGTTGAGGATTGGTATTAATTTTTCTTTGAATGTTTGGTAGAATTTACCAGTGAATCCATCTGGTCCTGAACTTTTGTTTATTGGGAGGTTTTTGATTACTGATTTAGTTTCCTTACTAGTGATCAGTCTGTTCATATTTTCTGTTTCTTCATGTTTCAGTCTTAGTAGGTTGTATGTTTCTAGAAACTTATCAGTTTCTTATAGGTTGTCAAGTTTGTTGCATATAACTGTTCATAATACTGTCTTATCCTCTGTATCTCTGTAGTTTCAATTGTAATGTCTCCTCTTTCATTTATTGTTTTATTTGAGTCCTCTTTGTTCAGAACTTTTAAACTTATTGAGACTTGCTTTATGGCCAACATATGGTCTATCTTGGTTACTGTACCATATCTACTTGAATATAATTTGTATTTTGCCGTAGATGTAGTTTTTATAATGTCAGTTAAATCAATGTGATTTATAGTATCACTAAGATCTGTGTGTTTTCTGATTTTTTTTTTGGTCCACTTACACCAATTGCTGAGGGAGGGTTTTTACAATACCTGGTATTTTTGTGGAATTGTGTATTGACTCCTTTGTTTCTGTCAATTTTTGCTTCATGTATTTTGAAACTCTTTCCCTAGGGACAACACATTGATAATTGTTATCTCTTTATCTAATGTTAAGATAGCCACTCCAGGCTTCTTATTCTTAGTCCTTGAGTGGTATATCTTTTTATGTTCATATACTTTCAACCTGTCTTTATATTTAATGTATATCTCTTGCTGGCAGCATGTAACAGGATCTTCTTTTTTTTATTCATTGTGTCAACTTATGGCCTTTAACTGCAGTGTTTAACCTAGGATTTGTGGCCCTCAGATCAAATGCCTGTTTTGGAAGTTAAATTTTATTAGAAGACAGCCACATACTTTATTTGGTTATTATCTGTGCCTGCTTTTCTGCTGCAAGACAGAGTTGAGTAGTTGTGACAGAGACTACATGTCCTATGATTCTTCAAATATTTATTCTCTGACCCTTCACAGAAAAGTTCTGCCAATTCTGTAGTCCCGGACACACAGTTGGTGTATAGTAAATGTTTCATGAATTGAATTATTTTGATTGTATTAAATTTTTAGTAAGTTAATATAAAGACTAGATATAGGGTTCCATTTTGGCAGGATGTGAATTGCTCAATAGGTGTTAACAGCTGTTAATATAATACAAGATTGCTCTACTAGATAATAACCAGATAAAAGAAGCCATGTATTACCAGTTTTCTGAAACGGTTCTCTGTCTTTCATTTTTTTCTTGGTTAGTTGGCTTTGTTTCCATGTAAAAAGAAAATTGGAGGCAGTAGATGCTTGTCAGAGCTTTTTCCCCCTTCTCTTTTACATAAACTATTTACCACTTTATAAAATACCGAATAGTTAAGGGACATCCAGGAAGAAATGAGCCAAAAAGCATTTCGGGAGAGTTCTGCATTTTGTAGCATTACATTTGATGTTTAATATCCACAGAGAGAATCAAATACAGCAGAGATTTCCTGTTGAAGCTCTCAAGTGTTTCCATCTGCAGAAAAAAACCAGACTTTCTGCCTGATCATCCCATTGTACTTCAAAAACCAGTAAGTAGTTTTCTACTTTTGTATTGTTTTAATTCTAAGTATCTTTTAAAGATTTTCATAGTGTTTTAAATCTAAAATATTTGCCTTTTAAAAATCTTAACGTTTCTCATTGTGAAATATAATTCAGAACAGTACCTAAATCTAAATGTATCATATAACCAATTACTGTAATTACCACTCTGGTCAAGAAATAAAATGGAACCATAGTATTTTGGAAATATTTTTCTATTTGAAAGGTCATGGAAAGAAAACCCACGTTATCTTCTAAAAGTTCTATTGTTTTGTTTTTCAATTAACTTTTATAATTTACATACAGTAAAATTGATTGGGGTCAGGTTTTATTTTTTTCTGCATGAACGTCCAGTCATCCTAGCAATGTTTATTGAAAGAATAGTCCTCTTCTACCTTTGTGGCAATATATTTATTTGTGGTGTGTTTCTGGGCTCTGTTCTGTTGTTAGTCTTTTTATACAGTAAAACAACATTTACTATTTTTCAACATGTCTTTGCTGTTTCTTAGTCCTTTATAATTTCTGTGTCACCTTATTGAGTTAGTCTTTTTATACAATAAAACAACTTTACTATTTTTCAAAGTCTTTGCTGTTACTTAGTCCTTTATAATTTCTGTGTCACCTTATCAAATTCTATCAGAATAAGTAGGCATAATAAATACATACATTTAGCTTTCAGGATATTGATTAGGAAAGACATGGGTCTTGGCATTAGGCTTGGGTTCAAGTTTTAGCTCCACTGGTATATGGTTCACACTTAGGAAGTCACTTAACCTTCTTGAGCTTCAGTTTTGCAATTGCAGATAAAGGTGATGATCTTTAGTTGTTAGGATTAAATGAAGCGTATGAAAGTACTTTTAGTATGGTATTTATCTCTCATTATGTACTCAGTAAGTGTTGATTTCCATCTTTTATGGCCTTTGGTTCCATTTTGCCTGGAATTTGACTTTGTTTAGTTTTCATAAACACTATTTTATATAGGTAAAAACATATAAAAGGTATACATGCATATCTCTGAGATACTGTAGGTTTGGTTCCAGACTACCACAATAAAGCAAACATCGCAATAAAGGGAGTCACATAAATTTTCCCAGTGCATATAGAAGTTCTGTTTACACTATACTGCTGTTAGTTGTGCAATAGCATTATGTCTTTAAAAATGTACACAACTTAATTAAAAAGTTATTGCTAAAAAATGGTAACGAACACCTGAGCCTTCAGCAAGTTGTAATCTTTTTGCTGTAGTAACATCAAAGATAACTGATCACAGATCACCATAACAAATATAATAATAATAATGAAAAAATTTGAAATACTGGGAGAATTACCAAAATACAACCTAGAGATGCAAAGTGAGCAGATGCTGTTGTAAAACTGGTGTCAATAGGCTTGCTCGACACAAAGTTGCCACAATTCTTCAGTTTATAAAAAACACAGTATCAACAAAGCACAGTTAAGCAAGGCGTGCCCGCAGCATAGTGTTGAGGTGAGCCCAGACTATAGGTATGCTGAGAATGCCTCACATGTGAGAAATCGGATCCCTCCTGTGTTCTCCACTTGGGGGATTTCTAACCTTTTGGAATCCGTAGCTTTTTTTTTTCCTTAATTAGTTTTTTTTTGTATTTTAATTTATTCATAGTGCATTTCAACGTTTCTTACCTTGTGGACCTCCAGACAATTCTTTTAAAAATCAAAACATAAACTTAAAAGTTTTTTTCTTAATACCTTGCACAAAAGGAATATTTAATGAGGAAGAGTGTCCTGATGGTATTTGAATTTTTCTACCTATTCAGAGACCTGAGGGGCATATAATCATTGGTCTGCAAGGATAAATCTAAACTTCGGTGCCGTATCAAATATAGTCACTTTCTCATTTAAAGGCTTTCCACTTCTAACCACATTTATTTGTCAGTAAAAGTTTGACATACACATTTTGAACAAACTTCATACATTAGAGTTGAGTTTACTTTTGTTTTATGCATAATATTTTTTAAAAACTAGGTACCACAAAAACAGAACAACAGGTTTGGAATACAATCTATTTTAAAATGAACTGCATGTTTTACTAAACACAAAAGAACTGCTTTATTTGATAAATTCCAGCTACCTTAATAGTTTTTGTAGTAACATGCATTTAGATCTGTAAACACTTAGTAGGGTCACAGTATTTGGTTTGATAAACTAATTAGTAAAAGCTGCATTCATTCAAGCTAACTGATAAATTAAGTTTTTCTTCTTTATTACAGGAAAACAACCTAAGTTTTAAGTAGCATTTTAAAAACAAATGTATTTGAAGATAAAGAATTATTCATTTTCTATTTTGGACACCAGCAAATGAAGTGGATCTAGTAACAATAACTGTCATGGACTGCAACAATTCAATTTACTTTTAATTTTGATGGTTGAGTATTTAGTTTCTCCTAAAATGAGAAAGATATTTTAAACTATAAAGAATTTTCTAATCAGTTTCAGCTTTGCAGTTTCCTGCATAAATTGGGAAGTAACACTGGAAAGGAGGAACTTGGTTAGTGAAATGGGAAGACTATGTAATTTGCAAGCTACTTGCAATTTTTTGTTTTTCATCACTTGTAATAATGGAATGGAAATGTAAGGTATAAAGATTCTCAAATATAAAGTATTTGCTACTATGTATATATGATACGTAATTTCTTGTTGCTTTTGAAGTTGCTTTTGTTCTGTTTCCCACTGATTTCATACCAGCACTTGAAAGGATCTTTATAATCTCTCTAGTGGTTTAGAATGATTCAGGTGGTTCAGTGAAGGAGGAAGGAGGGAGAATACTTTAATTGCTACTTCTTCTCAAAGATATGACTGGTCTCTAGGTTTGTGATAACAACAGTGTCTAAGATTCTTTTATTTCTAAAAGAGGAAAAATTTAGGCATTTGCAAATAATTGAGGTGCATTGAGTTTCAATTCTATAATTTCTGATAAGAAGAACATGTATGGATGAAGAATTTGGGGGTTTAAACTTTTAGCTCCTAGAAATTTTATACAAAAATCTGCAGCTCATCACTCTGGATGTTACTCTTGTTTAAAAAAAAAAAAGTTTCTTCCAGCACAGTGTCAAAAAAAATTGCTGATACAGAGATAAGTGTAAATTCTCCTAGTTCAATTCTCCCAGATTCTCTCAGATTCCCGGGTCTATTGGCAAGGCATTCAGGGACATCATTTGGCAGAAAGCTTATCTTAAACTGAATTCTGAACTCCTAAAACCAGTAACTTTTTCTTCGCTGGTCTTGGGGCTTGTTACCCAGGTTCACACTTTAGTCCATGGCAGGTTTGCCGTCTTGGTCTTTAGTATACCCCTTTCATTGCTTTGTTCCCCAGAAAAAAGGATTGCTTTTTAAGTAGGGGGGAAAAAACCTTCATTAATTTATTGGTTACTTTAATCTGAATTTATACCTAGAACCCAGTTTTTCCCTTTTGTTTTTGCTCTACTCTTTCCCTTTTTATTATAGGTTCCAGTATTTACATGTGTATGAATGTACACGTACACTCTCACACACATACACAAAAAACACATGTGTAATTTATATAGGAACTGGGGTCATCTCAATTAATGAAGTAATAAAAGAGCTTCGGTCAGAATTACCATATAATTACATTGGTTTGCTTTATTATTTGCCTATTCTCAATGTCTTTTGACTATAGTTAAAAAAATGCGATAGAACACATTCCAGTTTCGAATTGAATAAAGAGCCCTTCCACTTAGCACTGTTACTAAGGGCAGAACCTTTTTAAAGTCATGCTACCATTCTATTTTGGAAACTACCAAGTATCCTAAAGACCTGATACACTTTCTGAATCTGATACTGAAATGGGCTGGCCTGAACAATGTATTGATTGGCTATAATTTGTATTTTTGAAACCATTTATAACCAGCGTTTTCAAGAAGAGTTTGTATGTCAAAATTCCCGGAGGTTTCAAAGTCTTCTGATCCTTTCTTACTGTATGTAATCAGAGTGAGACTGCAAACACTGTTTTATTGTCTGTTTGCCTTTGTACATATGTATAGCTTGTTTGAATAATCATTGTGCATCTCTATTAATGTCGTTCTTTGCTTTGTATGTAAATAAAAAGAGTTGAGCCAGGTGTTGTTTCATAGTGTTTGTCATCTTTAGAAATGACCAGACACACACACACACAGACACACACACACACACACACAGATGTGTGTGTCTGTATATGTCAGAATTTACTACCTATGTCTAGTAGAAGCTATTAAAATTCTTTATTCAGACTGAGGACTGATGGTATACAAAGGTATTGGTTAAAGTTAAAATTCCATAGATTAGTTTGATAAAATATTTTAGGTCAACTTTTATATTTAAAAAATAAAATGTTAGTTCAAACTTTCTATTCTTTCTGAGTTTTCCAACAGTAAAAAAAAAAAAAATTCACCTTATATTTTTTCCTGGAAGACCTGTGATTTCAAAGGAATTTGGACTAGAGAATAACACGGTAACAAATTTCTGTATGCACTGCATTTTCATTAGCAGCATTTATCAGAATAGAAGAGAGTTTATTAAAAGATTTAATTTATAAGCTTGTACAGCAGAGTATATAGGTACCTACTTTTAGTTGTTCTAATGAAACTGGAAAATAGATGTTTTCTGTCCACTGCATGTTTTGTTATTTCCCTAAAGTTTTGTACTTGTTTTATATTTCTTTCTTGTTCACTTAGGTTAAAATTTTGTTTTAAAAATATTTTGAAATCATTATCTACTGCAAATGTCGATTTTTCATAAGAAAAGTTAGACCTCTGAGTCACATAGCTCTGGATCATGTGCCAAAAACTTTGAACCATATTTTCTCAAAGTAAAACTCTCCTCTTTTCTTGAATGGTTTAACTTACATACATGGAGTTATGTTAATAAATGATGTAATGGCGTTACATTAGTAAGTGGTACCCCATGACAGAACTGTTCCCTTGTGAAAACCAGTTTATAACTTGACAGATGGCTAGAGATGATACTGGTTGTAATTAAGGTTGTTTCATCCTCATGTGTTAACTTTCTTCTTAAGCTTAAACACCTTAAGCTCACAGTTCTAGAGGCCGAAAATCCCAGACAGAGTGCCAGCAGAGCTGGCTTCCCTTGAGGCCTTTGTCCTTGACTCACTGTTGGTCACCTTCTTGCTGTGTCCTCATGTGGCCTCTTCTCTGTGCACATGCATCCCTGCTGTCTCTCTGCGTGTAGGGAAACCAGTCATACTGGATCACGTATTAGCTTTTTAAGTAACAAAGTGAGTAGTCACAGGGTCATGAGTTGGAAATGGAGTAGGTATTACTAATGAAGAGAAGATTTCACTTGCAGAATAGCAGATACTTAAAAATCACAAAACACGGATTTAACTTTTATAGTTTATGACAGAACTACAAAATCTATCCTATGAAGTAATACACTAAAAGTTCTCACTTTAAATATTTTTCTTTACCATAACAGTTTTTTTCCTTTATGTGTACCCTTTTTCACACATGAGGATTTTGTGACTAAAAGATTTTAGGTTACAATGTAACAACATATCAGCAAATATTGACAATAATTGTGAACTTTGAAAGATGAGCTAAAATTCACATGAAAGATAAAGTTACAAAAGAAATTTAAGAAGAGTGCACATCTAAGGGTAAATATATTCAAACAAAAGTATAGAGCAAATTAAGTACAGAGAATTTCCTAATTCACACTTTATATACGAACACTTGTTTTTCACTTGGAACCATAAAGAAAACATTTAGGAACATCTTAGTTGTTCAGGATCCACCATGAAGCTGAAAAGAGAAACACAGTCTTTTAAATAATGAAAATAGCTGCCAGGGTTGTTAGTTCAAGTAGCAAATCATTTTTGGAGACCATCCTCCCCCACGTTGAGCCTACAGAATTACTTATCTTTCAAGTCGCTGTTTCCTGGCTGGATTGAACTCTCCTATGCCATTGTTAGTTGCACCTTATATCTCTTGTCACTTGGCTGTAGTCTTAACTAAAAATTTTCATTACATATAATAGAGCTTGTTTTGGCAATGAAATGCCCTGAAGATAAAATCATGTTGATGTTGCTTTAATCTACCCAGTTCAGGAAGATTGGGCATAAGCAAATGCATGTGTTTTAAATGGTATCTTTAGTACATCTATACTGTAAAATTGGGAATGTTCTCCCCAGTAATATGTATTCCAAAGACAAACCTATGACAAAGAAATAAGACTGGTGGAATGAGGTGAGAAACAGACAAATGGAAAGGATTAAAATTTGTTTGCAAAGCTGTTTAAATAATACACTAACTGGCAATAGGATCTTACTTTCTTCTGTGTCCTCTTTTCCCGCAACCATGGGCCCTTCTCCTTTGCCAAGGGATATTCTGCTTTGCAGACCCGTTCTCGTACTCATTTTGTCTGGGTGTTTTATGATGGCTAGCCTGCCATAATCCAGTATGCCTCATTTAAAAGATTTTTATATTTGAGAGCTCATATTTTGACTTACATTTTTATATGTAGATATAGTCTGGTTTAGTTGCTTTATTTCTAAAGATGTATCTTAGGTAAACCACTTAGGAATCTTAATTTAAAAAGCAATCTTATTAGAAATCATAATTTGTGAGTTAAATTTGTAATACAGACCCACTCATTCTATGTCTCTAACTATATATAATAGCTTTTTCTCTGATTTTTTAATTTTAGGTCTAAATATGTGCAGCTAAAATGTTTGAAAGTGTGTTTACTTTCAGCCTTCATAACAACATAACAAACAAAATGCACAAAACTAGCTACTAAAATATAAGAAGCCATATGGACATTAAAAATATAATATGAATAAGCTAATTTCACCTTTTTGCCCAGGGAGATGCATCTGCTGTTTGTCCTGGAGGTGAGTCTATTACAGTGATAAAACTTTCACTTTAAAATGGAGTAGGACGGGTGATTTCCAGTCAGGATGGCGGAGTGGTAGGACCGAGAGCTCGCCTCTCCTCGCAACTACAAAACCACAACTGACTGCTAAACCACCACCAGAGGAAAAAAAGACTGGAACCTAGCAAAAAAGATTCTCTTCAACTGGAAACATAAAGAGGGAACCACAGCGGGATGGTAGGAGGGGTGTGCCTGCAACATAGTCTGGCCCCATTCCCCCGGCTGGGCGACCCACAAGTGAAAGAATAAGTCACAGAGGCCCTCCCACAGGAGTGAGAGCTCTGAGCCCCACATCAGGCTTCTCAACCCAGAGCTCCAGCACTGAGGAGAGGAGACTCCAGGACATCTGGTTTTGAAGGCCAGTGGGGTGTAACTCCAGGAGCCCCACAGGACTAGGGGAAGCAAAGACTTCATTCCCTTGGAAAGTGCACACACAATCTCACGTGCACCAGGTCCAAGGGCAGAGGCAGTGATTTCATAGGAACCTGGGCCAGACCTGCCTGCTGGTTTTGGAAGATCTCCTGGGATGGTAGGGGATGGCGCAGCTCACTTAGGGGACATAAAACCTGGTGACAGACATTCCTAGAGTATTCATCTACATCAGCTTTCCTGGAGGTTGACATCTTGATTGGATCATCAGCACCAAGACCTAGCTCCATCTAATAGCCTGTAGGCTTAAGGGCTGGGAAACTTCAGGTCAAAAAACATACTGGGTGGGAATGCCGACCCACCCATCAGGAGACTTCCTGAGCCCACAGCTGCCTCTAGACACGACCCTACCCACCAGAGGTCCAGGACCAAGCCTGACCCAGCAGTAGGCAGGCACCAACTCCTCCTGTCAGGAAATCCACATAAGCCTCTAGTCCAGCCTCATCCACCAGGGGGCAGATACCAGAAATAAGGAAATAACAATCCCAAAGCCTGTAGAAGGAGCCCACAAACACAGGCCAGACTCTACACTGGGACCAGCTGGACCTTGGCCCTGGGTGACAAGAGAGGAATGTACTGCTGGGACACATAGGATGTTGCCGACAGAGGGCCATTTCTCCAAGGTTGAGAAATGTAACTAACCTACCTAAAAATACAAATAGAAAGATAGAGTATATGAGGAGGCAGAGGAATATCTTACAAGCCAAGGCACATGATAAAATCCCAGAAGAAGAAATAAGTGATGAGGAGATAGGCCATTTATCTGAAAAAGAGTTTAGTGTAATTATGGCAAAGATGTTCAGAGAACTCAAGAGGAGTATCGATGCACAGAGTGAAGTTTTTAGCAAAGAGTTGAAGAATATATTCTTAACTCTGTTAAAGAATAAAATTACTGAAATGAGTAAACACACTTAAAGGAACCAAGAACAGACTAAATGAAGCAGAAGAACAGATCAGTGAGTAGAAGACAGGTTAGTGGAAATCACTACTGCAGAACAGAAAAAAGAATGAAAAGAAATGAAGATAGTTTAGGAGAACTCTGGGACAACATGAAGCACAGTAATATTCACATTACAGGGGTCCCAGAAAAGAGAAGAGAGAGAGAGAAAGGACCTGAGAAAAATTTTGAAGAGATAATCACTGAAACCTCCTCAACTTGGGAAAGGAAACAGTCATCAAAGTCCAGGAAGCACAAAGAGTTCCACACAGGATCAACCCAAAGAAGAATACACCAAGCCATGTATTAATCAAATTGACAAAAATTAAGGATAAGGAAAAAATATTAAAATCAGCAAGAGAAAAGCAACAATAACATACAAGGGAGCTCCCATAAGGTTATCAGCTGATTTTTCAGCAGAAACTCTACAGGCCAGAAGGGAGTAGCAAGATATATTTAAAGTGATGAAAGGGAAAAGCCTACAACCAAGAATACTCTATCCAGCAAGGCTCTCATTCAGATTTGATGGAGAAATCTAAAGCTTCACAGATAAACAAAGCTAAAAGATTTCAGCACCACCAAATCAGCTTTACAACAAATGTTAAAGGAACTTCTCTAGTCATCAAACCGAAAGAAAAGAAAACAAAGAGAAGAAAGAGGGGAAAAAAAGACCTACAAAAACAAACCTGAAACAATTTATTAAATGGCAATAGGAACATGTGTTTCAATAATTACCTTAAATGTAAACGATCAAACACTCCAACCAAAAGACACAGATTGGCTGAATGGATACAAAAACAAGACCCATATATATGCTGTCTACTAGAGACCCACTTCAGAGCTAGAGACACATGGAGGCTGAAAGTAAGTGGGTGGAAAAAGATATTCCATGCAAACGGAAACCAAAAGAAAGCTGGAGTAGCAATACTTGTATCAGACAAAATAGATTTTCAAATAAAGACTGTTACAAGAGACAAGAACACCACACAATGCTTAGGAAGTCAATTCAAGAGAATATAACAATTGTACATATATTTACACACCAACACAGGAGCACCTCAATATATAAGGCAATTGTTAACAGACATAAAAGGAGAAACTGACAATAACACAATAATATTGGAGGACCTTAACACCCTACTTACATCAATGGACAGATCATACAGACAGAAAAGCAGTAAGGAAATACAGGCCCTAAATAACACTTGATATCTACAGAGCATTCCACCCAAAAGCAACAGAATACACATTCTTCTCAAGTGCACGTGGAACATTCTCCAGAATTGACCACATGCTGGCCCACGAAGCTAGCCTCAGTAAATTTAAGAAAACTGAAATTGTACCAAGCATCTTTTTCAACCACAATGCTATAAGGTTAGAATTCAACTACAAGAAAAAAAACTGCAGAAACTGCAAACATGTGGAAGCTAAACAATGTTCTACCAACCAACCAATGAATCACTGAAGAAATCAAAGAGGAAATTAAAAAATACTTTGAGTACATGAACTATAAATGCTGGAGAGGGTTTGGAGAAAAGGAAACCCTTCTACACTGCTGGGAATATAGTTTGGTGCAGCCATTATGGAAAACAGTATAGAGATTCCTCAAAAAGCTAAAAAGAAACTTACCATATGATCCAGCAATCCCACTTCTGGGTATATATCCAGAAGGAACTCTAATGCAAAAAGATACACGCACCCCATGTATAGCAGCACTATTTACATGGAACCAACCTAAATTTCCATGGACAGATGACTGGATAAAGAAGTTGTGGTATATTTATTCAATGGAATACTACTCAGTCATAAAAAAGAATGAAATAAT